GCCCCCTACCCCATGATCTTTGCTCTGTGCAGAGATTTCTTTATGGAACCTCTTATGTTGACATAGCATGATGTTCTATTTTTATCCTTATATTGGCTTTTCTTTTTACTTTTTTCTAAAGGTAGCGCCTCTTTTCTGGCTGCAGGACCCGGGGCACCTGTTGTCCCATGTTTGTGTTTTTTGTCTCTCTTGAATGACTTGATGAACTGTAATTTCCCTTTGGGATCAATAAAATATTTTGAATTTTATAAGGATAAAGGCAGGTTTTGGAGATCTTTACGACAAAGATTTCACTTCTAAATGTCAACTAACGTCAATTAAATTCAAAAACTTCATCTCAAAAACTAATTCTTATATACAAAGGAACACGATTAATTACAAAAAGATGGCAAACCTCAGTTTGTGAACAAAACTTTTAGACATAAATAATTTTAATGAGGAAAAATAAATTAGCTCATTAAAGCTTTTCACTCACATTTATTTATAAGTTAGTGTGAAATGAAGAATCACACTGTGGAATCAGCTTCATTGCATTTAGCTATGAAACTATGTATTTTTTTTTACCAAACACGTTAGTTTTCACTTTGCATGCATGTGCAGCAGCAACAGAGAAAGAAGAAAACAATTGAGCCGTCTCCACCCTGAGCTCCGTGCAGACGAGGTCACCCAACTCAATCTTTGGCCGATGCATATTTCATCAACCCTGAGCTGCCTGAGACCCTGAAGGAGCTCCCAGATACCCACCGGCCACCGCTGACTGAAGACTGGACAGACTCAGCAAGAGAAAAGGCAGCTGATAAAACAGCTACAGCTGTACGGAGCAGGAGTTATCTTTTTGATTTTGTCTGAATAAAAATACAGTTTTTCGAAAAATGGACGAGTTCAACAACTTCCTGGTTTAAACAAGTCAGGACAGTTTGTCAGCTGTTACGATAAAAATAAAAGATATGGAGCCAGTATTTGGGCTGCAGCAGGTAGCACCCGTGATGTTCACGCAAACCCAGAGAACTGTTACAAATGAACCAGATATTTAGAATACTTTAAAACCCTCCTTATCTCTCAGCCTGTCTGTTATATATTTGTACTCACACAGTTTCTTTTCACGATAAACAAATAAAGAAGCAGCTCAGTGAGAGGAGGATGACTCACGGCCGACGAGAAGTGTCKCCTCTCAGCGTTGTTTCTAATAAAATCCACAATTCAGAAGAAAAAAAAACCTTCAGAAATACTCAGAAGTTGAAGTACTGCCCTTTTCAGTTAGTCATGCAGGGTTAGTTGCTGTTTAAATAGTGATTTATGTTGGATTTGAAAAGTCAAATTGTTGGCACTACCGAGGAACAGTTTTAGCAGAGTTCCAGGAAAAAATCAAATTTTGTTTCATTTTT